GTGGAAACTACGTTAGTCGGCTGTGAATATATTACGATTTGCAGCATGCTACTCGCTTTCAGGTGTCAGCAGATTTCAGATCTTCGACCGACGTTTTTTTAAAATAGGTGTACACACATAACACCATATAAACTTGGGGGAAAAATGGAAAATTGCAATGCATTATAATTATCAAGCTAACAAAGCCTATGACGCCTGCATAGATGCCCCAAGGCTGGGATGTTTTCTTTATGTCCTCTCGGGTTGTTCTCGGTATTTTTTTTACACTTTTCGCCTCTGAATTTTTGCAAGCTTGATTTATTCCATTTTCAGACAACTGCAAGGCAACAAGATAAGACTTATCGAGAAAGGGGTATTTGTTGATGCTGTAAATCTTGAATACCTGTAAGTTATAAGTGAGATATAGATTTTACAGCGTGGGCGACACCAGGGAAAAACGTTTGTGCATGCGTGCACTTCGGAACGTTTTCTAAGAATTTTGAAGAGTTTGAGTGAGAAAATAAATGTTTGTTTCCTCCAAGTATACAAAAAAGTTTGAGAGTATACTTTTGTCAGACCAAGACACTGTATTAACAAACACAATATGAAAGAATTRGTCTTAAGTTTCAAGCATGGACACTAAGTTTTGGCATTTTGAGAAGTCCAATTTATAAGGCATGTTTGAAAGTCCAATTTACTTATGTTTTGACTAATTTGCACACGTATTCAGAGCATGCGCAGACGTTTTTCACTCGTGTCAGCGCGAGCACTAACTGAGAAACCTATTTAACCAATCACGATGCAGCCATAGCTAGCTAGTCATGTTCTAAGCGATTAAAASTCGTTTAAAAGAATACAGGATACAATCATCTTGTTTTCTCATCATTTTTCTTAGAAACATGTCATTGAATGCAATTCAAGCAATCGAACCAGGGTCGTTTAATCATTCGAAAAATATTATGGAAAATTTGTAAGTACATTATAAATTAAAYTAAAGAATCCTAGTCAACTACAATGCACTGCTCTCCTTTGTTATTGTTTAAATCATTCGCCTACAGCTTTCTCGAAGCTCTTCCATACACCGAAATGGAGCAAACATTCTGCAAATTCACTATACCCAATGTCCTCAAATTCATAAAGTTTTCTTCCTTACATTCCACAGCAAGTAAGTTGAATTTTTCAGAGTGRTTCTCTTTGTGAAATTATGATTTTTCGGTCGTCTAACTGTTAGACACTAAACAACTTTCGAAATCTACCTTAAATTCGTTGCCACAATTTCTCAAATCTCGCGGAAAGCTTTACGTGACTATGTATCATTATATCACGATGGTCATAAAACATCTAGCAGGAATAACAGTACCGATGGAACTGGATTCCTAAACTTCATCTGCAAAGCCCGCATTTTGCCTGCCAGAGAGTGCTTTGCAAACAGGCAGCCCAATCTCTYGTTCTGTAGTGTTGTAGTATTTGAGTATTAACGATAATATTTCGTAGCRTGTAAAATAGYACTTTTAAGAATAAAAACTACTTTCYTTGATAGCTTGTTGTATCTTTWGATGTTTTGCTGATTTTGAAGCCAGTTTGGTGCGTTTTTGCGGAGTTATCGTTTTTTTTGTCCTCCTACCAAAGAAAATGGAAATTCCATCGTAGTCTTTAGTTTAYCTTCTTTCTTCATATAGAGACTTGAGTGTGAACGTCATTAACGTGCTGAAGAGAAACACCTTCATTGGAGCTGTATGGCTAAAGCATCTGTAAGTTKACAAGCTGCAAGTTTACTCCGCACGTCAGTGAGCTAGACAAGACAAGAGACTCCCTAGTGAGTGTCCATTTACACTCAATTGATGGGTTTGCAAGCATTCCCAAGAGAGTCATAAGAAAAAAGCATGCATGGAGGCCATTTTGGAATTGAAAACAGTAGCGGATCCAGGGGGGTCGAAGGGGTCCACGGAACCCCCCTTGAAGGTTTGATCTTTTAGGTAATAGAAATATGTCTTATAAAAATTTTGCTTAGAAGTATCCACAAGGATAATGTTGAACACGAAATGATAGATATTTGCTGTTATAATGTTTAATTTACCTTTAAGTTCCGTTACTAGATAGTAAATTAGGTGATTAGAGCCAATTTTTTGTCAAACATCGACTAAACAAAAGAGAATTATACACAGTTTAAGAAATGGAAACCCCCTTTGAAAAATCCTGGATCCGCCACTGTATCTAGTGATATAACTCGTGGGATGTTCATCGATTGTTACACTGACAGAAAGGATGGAGGCCTGTAAACACGTCTTTCATATCGAGTGTGTATCTCAAATGAATATATCAGAGGATAACCATTTCATTTCCCAGAATACCTTTTGGTCTATGTATTGAGCCAGACAATAATTTTACAATTGAGTGTAAATTAGATTTGTCCTTGTACGCGCAGGTGAGGTTTCGGTATTAAAATTGTTTTTGTCAACGAACAAGTTTTATCCTGCACGTGAGTGGCCGGACTACTTTGAAGATACGACGGCCATCTTGCCAGAAGAGCAAAACAAATCAAATAACGTAACAAATATATATTATATTTCCTCTTCCTTTTATTGGTAAAGGTAATAGATGTATCGTCTTTTGTTGCATTCTCTTGTGGTAAGCTGTTCAAATCAATCGACGCGGTCATCACTGCAACAAAGCTTTACTTGCCCCCTGGACGCAGCATAATACCTTAAGATCCAAGATTGTCGCCGTATCGTCGAAAAAGTCCATTTAGAAGAAGGCCTAAGCGTCGCATAAAATTGTTGCACTTGCTATTGTGTAATATCTTGATTTCTTTATAAATCTACTCATCCCTTCTTAACAATTGCAAAGTTCTACCCTTGTTAAAAAACATTCTTATAACTATTAGATTTAGAATTATTTTTCCATTCAACTTCATTTTAAATTTAATTTTCACCAAACAACTTACCCATGTTTCTTTTTATTTCAGTGATTTGTCACAAAATCGCATCGAAATCATGGAAGCAGGAACTTTCACAGGACTGCAGTCACTGACAATACTGTAACCTTCATGATTAAGAATATGTATTTTTAGAATTGATAAAAGGGTAAATTATACACTGTGAAAAGATGAATTGTTCAAATACTGCTGAGTTACTACTGTGGA